TAGGTAAAAATTGAACCGTCGTCACTCGTCAAATGCCAATATTCAAATGAATTTAAATTCTAAATATGAGAAATACAATGTTTAATTTATTGGTCTTAGACATAATAATATTATCATTAGTCATTAAAACACGCGGTAGTATAGCCAAATACAGGTAACAGGCTGTAGAATGAGTTGCGGGTAGTGTCATAATGACAATTGTTACTGAGATCAGTAATAAAATTTTTCGAAAATGTGCAATGTACATACTACATATTAACATATTAATAAGAATGGTTATAATAATTGTAATATTCTTACAATAGGCACGAATCGTAAAATGTATATTAATATATTATAATAACTTTTGAATGTTGAATTAAATTGTTGACCATTTGCAGCATTATTTTTAACTATTTCTGTTGCTCCAAACGATGTCATTTGGAAACATGAATTGAATGTTCGAATTGACTTCAGGAACATGTTAGAATCTGGATTCGTACCGATAAGTAGCCGGTTCAATGGTTCAGATGGTGTTTCAATTTCCGGTAGTTGCACTTTTCCTGACGCGCAACACATACCAGCTGGCTCATTTTTGAACTTATGCGCATTACAATGCGGACATTCCTTGTCCATAGCACCAAAAACTACTTTCGAATGAGCGTAATATTTAATATCGGGCCCATACTCGAATGCTAGACGAAGGAATGAATTGGATGTAAATGCTCTATGTACTTGTTGGCGTTGTCGGTTATTTGCTCTGCGTGTGTCAACTACGAATTGACGCACTTCTAATCGTCTTTTTTGATTTTGTGCAGCTTGTGCCTCACGCAATCGCACCATGTTCACATGTACATTTTCATTATTCGGTTGTGCTCTTCTATCTCGCATGATTGTACTTTTGGTCGTTCGACGGGCCAAATCAGACCCCTTGCGTCTTGCTGGCATTGTACAAAATACACAAATCGATACAATTACAGTTCATATATGTTCATATTCTTATAGATGAGAGAGAAAGCTTATTGTGTTAGACCGACCCATTCTACGGTCGAGTCGTTTCTGATGAATTCGTTAAATGCGACAAATACGCGGTTTTTTAATATTATGAAAAGAGATGGAAACGTACTCTACGTAAATATACAATTTATGGTTCCCTGGCAACAACTGTTGTATATTATTTTTATATTTTATTTTTTTTTATTTTCCATCACCGTTATCCAACAGTTATTATAAATATTTGTGGTGGCCACCCTTTACACCTAGGGGTATGAAAAATAGTTTACATCACTTGCTGGGACCTACTTAATATACATAAAAGATTTCATGAAAATCGGTACAGCCGTTTCGGAGGAATTTGGTAACAAAGTTTGTGACACGAGATTTTTATATACGAGTATTAGATTATTAATTAATAATTCAATATTTTTCTACGCCAATACACTCTCTTCTGACTTATTAGTTATTACTAAGTATTTTTTAATCGATTGAGATTAAGTGGTGTTGGGTACAGATCTGGAATGATCGATAATATTTTCGATCATTCGATGATGAGCGTGTGTCACCGCGACAGCGCCCGAATATTCTAGACGCGACACCCCCTCCCCCCTTTACCGATCTATCCACGATGGTCCCTATATATACGCCATACGGGCCGTCGCGATCGTCTAAAGTAGTCACCGTTCTTAATTTGGGTTGGTAATTTACGCGTAATTTATTGTGTGAGCTCTTTAATTTACGTTGATGATTGTCACGTAAATCTCTTTATCGGCTGTTGCCGTGGCGCAGTACGCGGTAAGAGTTTGTTTTATGATTTTTTCTCAATTGTTATTTTTTATTGAATTAATTTTATTGTAATATTGTAATTGTATTGTAATTTCGTACAATTATATTTTGGTGTATTGGATAATTTACATTGGCTTTTAATATTTTCAATACATCTCCTTGCCTATATACATCTAATTTAAATACATACAGTCCACTTGTCGGAAGACATAAAAATATATACCTTACATTGTTTGGACCTTCGAACCGAATCTTTTGTTATCATTTATCAATATGGCTCCACCAAAATATACAAACCAAGAATTAACGCGAGCACGCATCGCAAGGGACGCGGCGTTAAATTCAATACGGAAAATATATGCATTGGCTATGGAAGCGGACACGGACAAGCATAAACGACCGATATTTATCGCACGTCACGGGACATTAGAACGTGCGATTAAGTTGTTTGAAGCGAAGCAAGGAAATATTCTTTCGTTACTGGTTGAGTTAAACAGGTCTGATGAATTTACAAGTTCAGATTTAGGAATTACCGAGAATATGGAAGAAATGTATGGAGAAATTCAAGTGGTGTTTTCGAAAATACGTGGATATTCCTCAACTACACAACATGGTGCAATCGTAAAATGCGAAAATACGTATAATTCTCGTGCTTCGTTGTCGTTTCCGAAGATTGAGCTTCCAAAATTCGACGGTAGTCTTATCAATTGGTGCGCATTTCGAGATATGTTTACGTCACTAGTGCATGAAAATTGGTCATTAACGGATATAGAGCGCTTTCATTATTTGGTATCTTGCTTATCAGGTTTGGCCTTAAACATTGTCAAATCAGTTCCATTAACCTCGGATAATTATGCGATCGCCTGGTGTGGGCTTCAGGATCGTTATGACAACAAGCGGCTTCTTGCTATAGCACATTGTGATAAATTATTTTCCTTTGAACGGTTACAACGGGAATCGGTATCCTCGTTAGTATCTTTTGTTAATACCTTTCGCGAGAATGTGGCTGCGCTAAAGGCACTTGGTGTTGCTGATTTGTCTGGATTCTCGCTATTTTACATCGGTGCCCATGTCATTGATTCTGACACTCGTCGATTATTTGAAGCAAGTGTACCTCAAAAAAGCATACCAAGTCTGGATGAGCTATTGGACTTCGCCGCGGATCGGTGTAAGATTTAGAAAATAAAGCACCAAAAAAAAAAAATATTAAATTCAAATAACAGAAGATCTCGTAGAACAAAATGAAGATCAAAATACTGATCCTCTTAAGTCTGAAGAAGAATATAAAATGAAAAATAGTTTAAAAATTTTACAAAGTTTAGTTAATATTGAACATGATAAATTAGAAGTTCAAAAAAGTTTAACAACAAATGAAATACAACTTAATAATGAAAAAAATGAAATAAACGTATATAAAAGTTCTAAAAATACAATCATTAAAAAAAAGAAAAGTAGAAAATCCCAAGAAAATATACATAAAGAAGAAGAAGAATGGTTACCAAGTAATGCGAGACAAAAGAATCATAGTTCTAAAAATAGAACTAAAATCAATAAAGGGAAAAACCATAAAAATAAAGCACCAAAAAAAAATAGAAAATTGAAAACGCAAAAGACCTTGAATAATTCATCTACAAGTAACTCAAATTGCTCTGTTAAAATTCAAAATGGTCAAAGTACTTTATTGACTATGAAAGAATCATTAGTTTCTAGTTGTACCAAAAAAAATGAGACAGTAGTTTCTACTATTAAAAATACTAAATCATTGGATACAATCTGTTCTACAGAAACTCAAATGACATATCTGAATGTAAAATACTGTCCACCAACTAATGAATTATTAGAGCTAGATGATTTTGAAAATATACCGCATAGTGAGAAAAAAAAATGCCTAAGAAAAGTTAAAAACTCAGATATGTTACCTAATAAAACTTGTCCTATTGCTTCTACTAGTGGTAATAACAAAAAAGATGTTGACAATTTAAAAAATAAATCATCCAGTTCCTCAAGTTCAACAATGAAAATATCGGACTATAAAAAACTATATGAAAAAGATCGTAAAAGTTTATTCAGCCCTGATATTATTATAAAAAATATATCATCAAAACCTTCAAAAGATTTAACAAATGTCCTACACATAAAAAAGGAATACAATTCGATACAAAAAAAAGAAGAACCAGAAAAAAAGTCAAAACCAGCAGTATGTAAGGTAGAAAATAATAATAAAACTTCTAATAAAAGGAAAAAGTCAACCAAAAATAATACTGATGAAGTGAAGATAACAGAGAATTGCTCTAAGTTAACTCACGATTCAAAATCTAAGTCAAATCATGCATCATCAACAAAATATAAGAGAATCAAATTAGTGAAAAACGATAAAAGAGCCAAGACTAATACTGTTAGTAATACAAATAATAAATCGAATACTATCGATATATCAGTAAACAAAGCATCGGGTAATAATAATACTTTAGGTTCTGAAAAATTGAATAGAACAATGAAAATGGAAAATAACATGTCTGGTGAAAGTACATCGAAACATCAACAATTGAACGAAGTGAATGTTTTGGAAAATAAAGAATCTGATAAGAATACTTTGGAAAGTGAAACTGTCCCTGAATGGTTAAGACGTTTATACGTGATTCATAATATTAAACCTTTGTATGTTATTATTAATCCAAACATCACATATTAAATTTCATATTCTCAATAAGTGCAATCAGAATCTTATAATGTATATTATTAGATAGTAAAATAAAAAAGATATACCATTTATTGATAAACATTTTTAAATTATTGTGAATATTTCATGAAAAGCTTTTAAATGTACATAAAAATAATATATCAGAAAAAATAGAATTTGCGTAGGTATCATGTTTTATATGACTTTGCATATGTTAAAAAATCATAAACAAAAACAATCCTTAAATTAAATCATAAATTAGTAATCGAGTTATTTAACATGGTACTTGTTTGTTATAGTCTCACCAATGAATTGTATATAATTTATAACCTCTCTCCATTATTTTTTTTAAGTTTGTTTATATTTAATTATTAACTATTTTACTGTTTATTGGTCAACCTTTCAAGTTGCCTAAATGGTAGGGTGATAAATTTAATACAGCACAGTGACGGGATAATAACAAACCGTTAAGACTAAGCAGATTCCATTTTTTTTTTAAAATATAGTTTTAACTATTTTTAAATATATTAGTAGTTTATAAAAAATATTGTTAATTTAGTTTAAAATGAATATTATTGTTTTAACTAATAATTAAATTTTTAACAATAACATTTTGAAATATAAATCTAGATTTTATAATTTTTTTGTTTTAAAAAATTATATAAATGTGTGTGTAGTACAAATATAAAATAAATTAAAATGATAAGTTAAAAAATAGTATTGAGTGCTTGGAATCCAAATCATGTTCTGATCTTTTGTTCTATTAAAATTTAATTTGATTTTTATCACAAAGTACAATATACTATAATTATTGCATTTAGATGTAATACTGTTATTATTATGTACTGTGT